TATCATTAAATCTGCTTTATATAAAAAACTATGAACAGCGACTTAAATAAAAACTAGGGCTGTCAGTCGATTAAAATATTTAATCGCGATTAATCGCAAATTAATGGCACATTTTTTATCTGTTCTAAATGTACCTTAGAGGGATATTTTTCAAGTTTTTAATACTCTTATCAACATATGAGTAGACAAATATGCTTTATATGTTTGTTTATTATCATTTGAACAATGACAAATATTCTCATGAATATTAAACACAACAACCTGAACATTACAAATATTCGCCTCAATTCAACCTGGAACCTCTCTCATACAATAATACTGTGTGTGTGTGTGTGTGTGTGTGTGTGTGTGTGTGTGTGTGTGTGTGTGTGTGTGTGTGTGTGTGTGTGTGTGTGTGTGTGTGTGTGTGTGTGAGTGTGTGTGTGTGTGTGTGTGTGTGTGTGTGTGTGTGTGTGTGTGTGTGTGTGTGTGTGTGTGAGTGAATGTGGAGACACTGTGATGGATCGTTGGAGCTATGGGCAGCTCAAGGCATATATGCCTGTGTGTATGAGCTGTGTTGCGCGCACTATCCGTGCTGAGTGTGCTGACTTTTCGTACAATGTCCCACTGTCTGGCTACCTGCATAAAGTCAAGTGCTCAGCGCAGTTGTCGGCGAAATCTCGCTCCTCTGTTTTCATTTAAACAGCTCCTTATATCCGTTAGCGCAGCTAGCTAGCACCAGATGCTAACAACAACACGTAAGGTGTGCTTCGCTCTCGCCACACATACACACACCCTCCCGGTCCTCCCCGATGGCCAGTCCGGGCCTGCCGGTGAGCGTGGAAGTGTGGTCTGCCACAAGCGGGCGGCAGGAGCAGCATCAGCTTGTAGATGGTATTTTAAACTCGATGCGCTCTGAAACTACGGGGCGCCCGAGGACAAAAAATACACATGCGTTAATCGCGTTAAAATAATTAGTGGCGTTAATTTTTTTTTGCGTTAACGCGTTATTAGCGCGTTAACTTGACAGCCCTAATAAAAACACAAAGCTACATTTAACTAATTTACAAGATGTGCCAAAATCAGGGCTGAAATAGAGGGCTATGAGGCATGTTGGTATTTTGCAGAGGTGGGACCAAGTCATTGTTTTGCAAGTCACAAGTAAGTCTCAAGTCTTTGCACTCAAGTCCGAGTCAAGTCTCAAGTCAGGATGGGCAAGTTCAAGTCAAGTCCAAGTCCTACACTTTGAAAAACGGGTCTTAAACAAGTCATTATGAGCTTTTCACCAAATGTAATGACATCCATCAACAGAATAATACTTCATAATCAAAGTGCTCTTTATTAGTCACATTAATAATGTAATAATCCATCTTCTCTCTGCTGGTAAAGTAACGTGTGTTTTTCTATTTTAAGAGGGATCAGTAAGGTAAGGCTACCGTGACGGTTTATTGGATGAGTTGGATGTAGAAAAGTCAGAATCAAAATAGATGTTTTTATTTACATTTCAAGCATTTTCCAGGATTTCCAGCACCCGTACGAACCCTGCTGTCTATAGGAGTGTCTGGCAATAGAGAGGTGCAAGAATGAGTCCTAAAACCCCGGAAAAGACTTAGCCTTCCACCACTTCCTGTCTGGAAGTCAATGGTGTTCTGAATGTGTTTTGGTTGTAAGCCTCATATGGTTCTATGGTTAACACAAGCTGAACAGATTTTAATTCTACGTCTGTAAATACCCCACAAAGGGAAATAAGAGTCAAATCCGGCACATATGTCTTCTCTCTTTGAGGTAAATGTATTCTATGCATGGTCCTTGTTGGATAAAAACTAATATCTTTCAACATTTCGTCCCACCAGCTCAGCCCTATTTGTTTTTCTTTCCTCTTCTGCCTCACTGCTTATGAATTCTGAAGAAACCCTCGTGGTTGAATTCTCCTTCGTGAGAGAAACAAAGGTCGCTTTAAGTACAAGAGGAATTCCTCCCTGACGTCCCGGAGGCTAGTGAGCGATGCAGACATTTGTCAAACAATTCATTGAATGTATTTCACACACACTGTTCTGTACGAAATCATCAATTCACTTTCAAGAGTTCAGTGCTCATTGAAAAGGAAGTACTTTCAGGGACGATGAAGACGTTAACTTGGTTGTTTGGGAACAAAACCACTGTTCCTATGATAACACATATATGAAGGATTGTTTCTGGGTGTCTATAACCCCCAGACACCGTTACCGTTATAACATCAATGCAGCTTGGAAGCAGGAAGCCCATTAGTAGATGTTAACGTGTGGATGAAGCTTGTAATTCACTGTAATATCTAAATGTCACACCAACATCCATTAAAACTCCTGAGCTGAACACACTGCGTCACACACTGGGGTCAAAAACACCAGAGAAAAGGCAGAAAACAGCCACAGAAGCATCATCTTACTGTCTGTCCTTTAACTACAGCACATGATCTCCTCCTCTGAGTGAAGCATGTTGTTTTGAAGATAGAAGAAGCAGCTTCAGTCGAGGTACAGCTCGTCTGTAACGTGTGCAAGTAGCTTAGGAGCTGTTAGCATGTTGTAAAAGGTAATCAATGGCTTTTATGGCTGTTACTCAATAAGGTCACTGTGTGTTCATGTGTTCATTCTCTGAGAGGCTGGACTGAGGCTATTAGCTTTATGCTAACATGCTCACAATGCTATCATGCTCCTGTTTAGCTCCTATAATGTGTTTAACATACGAGTTCAGCATGCTAACATAGCTAATTCTTGCACTATTTCTATTCTATTTTATTTGTATTTACATTTTTGCTCATCTCAAAACATTATCTTGCACTATTTTATCTGTTTTATTTGTTCCATGTCCTATATATATTCATGTTGCTCTGTTGGAGAAGATCTTCATTGACATATCTACTCTGTAGCTGCTGTGCAAATGACAATAAAGCTTTGAAACTTGAATGTTGAATCTTGAAAATGTGTTTAACATACGAGTTCAGCATGCTAACACAGCTAATTAGCACTAGCATGTCCTTAATGAAGGGGCTAGAGGAGATGACTAATGAATCAAATGCAATGCAATCCATCCAATAGGTGTTGAGTTATTTAAATGTGGTTCTTAGTAGTAGACAGACTATTAGCATGGCTACAAACCAGGTTTATACTCTGATAGATTCCTGTGTATTTTCATAATAACCACTTCTAGGAACACCTACATCAATTGGAGAATTGACTCTGACCATCTGTAAATGTGAAGAGGCTGCAGTTAGCCTGTGTGTGTGTGTGTGTGTGTGTGTGTGTGTGTGTGTGTGTGTGTGTGTGTGTGTGTGTGTGTGTGTGTGTGTGTGTGTGTGTCATTAACGCTGTGTCTCGATCCCACTCCACTGAGAGGCATCATTTCATTTCACAGCAATCAATAAACACAAGGACCTTAAAAACAGAGAAGCTACAAGAGCTGGGGAGGTTCCAATTAAATGACTTTCGAAGGGGCGAGAGAGCGAGGGAACAAGGAGAAGATCACGTCTTTATCGCCCTCTGTTGGCAGCGGTAGTGGGAGGAAAGTAGAAAGTGTTTAAAGCAGAATGTGTCCTGTTTTTATTACAGAGCAAGGATGCACATGGAGGCACTGACAGACTCATTATCAGGTTGAGGGACCCTCCTTTCCCCTCCTTTTAACCCTAACCCAACTTCAGCAAGGAACACCCCCATGACTATTGTTGGAGTCGGGAGGCCTGTTCATTTATTCCGGCAATAACTCAGACCTACTAATTGACCTAACAGAAGCTATTGAGTCTAAGTTTACTGCTCGGCTCAGATCCATCGAGGTCAGCAAGGTCTCACCTCTATTAACTCCTGAAGAACCAGGTTCAATGAACTGCTGTTTCAGTTCAGACGACACGCTAAATCTGTTTAGGCGATCCAGAAGGATTTTGGTATCAGTAATAATGAGGTGTGGCCTTACCTAAGTGTGAGTGTGGCAGTGGTGCAATCTTACCTTTAAGCAGGAGAGGAGAGCGCAGATTTATTTTAAATTCTCCCAATCCAAAAAGGTGGGATGATTTTATTTGAAGAAAATGGTCCACACTTAAACAGGTTTTTACCTTCTCTCGTTACAATATGACAATCATACAAAACATATCATGCTGTGGTACTTTTCTAATATAAAAGCTCAATTCAGTTTTACATTTCTTACACTAAATTCTAACTTCAACTGCCCTCTTCAGTTGAAACATTAAAAGTCTAACCCGACAGAATCCAGAGGAATCTCCTCATAAATGGTCAGTGGTATCTAACACATTCAAACTTTCATTCAACAATTCACCAAATCAATCTGAGAGATCTTACCAAGTTGAGAGAACCTACCAAGGAGAGACCCCGCTCTGGAGCTTTCTCCCTCTCAGCCAGTGCTTTTATGCTGCACATAGGAACACAAAGAAAACCCAAAGACACCTCCTTTATACCCTGTGGGGAAAGGTCATGACCTCTGGTGTGCAGGACTGGACATCCAGACATATTCTCCTATGGTATGGCCTGAACACATTTTGGGGCTCCAGTACTTTTCCATTGAGTCAGGGGTACAGCCTGCGAGTGAAGACAACTGTCCCCCCTCTTTAAACAGTGACACCCATAAACTACAATAGGCCTTAAACTCAACTTAACAAACTACTTGTGTTTGTATATACTGGGATTATAGAACAATATGAAATATAATATTTTCATTGTGGGTTATACAAGATTATATTTGATTATATTAACTTTCGTTTTAATTATTCAACTTAATATGGAGACATCAACACTATGCAATTCTTAAGATGGCTCTAACTAACCTCTACCCGCTTGGGAAACCGAACTCTACAAGTGCCGCATGTTGGACCATCTTAAGGTCCCCTCTGCCAGACACATTGCATTAGCCTATGCACACGACCCACAACCCTTTACTAAGTCTTTAGCTGCTTTACACCTCCTTTGTCCTCCCCTTTCAGAAAGAGCAAGGCATCACCAGATCCAAGCGCCCCTCCAGTCCAGTGGACCCCCTTCCAGCAGCTCATGGACCGGGTCCTGCGTCCCACTCTCAGTATGCAGATATCCGGATGACTACATCGTTCAAAGTGAGATGTTGGGGCAGGTAAAGGCGGGGCTCCAAGCTAACCTGAAGAAGAGTGAGTTGGGGTATCTGGGGTCGATGGGGTCTCCTCTTTGGGGCCGGGATGGGTGGGAGGTGGTGGTAGGTAGCAGCAGGTGTATGTGCAACACATCTTTAAGAAAAGCTTTAAGTACAATGGATTGTTTTTGTTCAATATTGAGGAGAGCTAACAGGAAGTCTCTCATCAGCTGCAGTCTTCTTCTGTATTTTCCAAAATGCCTCCACGCTCCTCTGGACGTCTCAAACTCGCCCCGTGATGAATAAACTGAGAACAAATAAAACCTGAGCTTACAGATTTGTCTGGAACACCAGAAACACACTGAGCAATAACTACATTTTAATTATGGGTTGAAACCTCAATAAATAAAGTTCACTTGGTACGACCTCTCACCTTTCTGTGTGTCTTCACTTCCTGTCACCTGAGAGGAGAAGGAGAGAGAGAGAGAATGATGATGATGATAAAACATGGAGAAACATCCAGAATGATGAAGAGAGAAAGAAGAGTGTTGTTTTCCTCTGAGGTCATGCTCCATTAAAGAGTTTAGTATCTTGATGAATGGAGGATATGGTTTCAGTACTCACAGGTCTTCTGGATCGTGATCGGCTTATCCCATCTTCCGATCCTGTAGAGATGAACACAATCCAACAGCTTTAGATCCAGTTTAAATAAGTGTTAGTTCTTTGAGTCAGCTTCAGAGTCCTGATCTCATGCTTTACATCCCATCAGATCTTCTCTGCAAACACTACGACTGCCTGCCACAGCTCTCAGCTGCATGACAGGAAGTAACCAGTCATTGGTCTAGAACAGGGGGGTCCAAACTCTTTTCCCCGAGGGCCACATACAGAAAGATATATAAAGGTCTGGGCCGCTCTCTAGAGGTATGTTGCCTCATGAGTTCAGTTATAAGTCAGAAACCTCAGATGAAGGTAAAGGATGCTTGTTACTTGAAGATGCTTTCAGAAACAACAGCTCCCAGCTCTCCAGAGGGTTCACTTTATTCTGTCAGCAGCTCATTCCTTAAAGCAGGATCTTCAGATTGATTATAATCACAGGAAATATGAAGGGTCTATTTCACGCTTGTTATACAAATAAGTTATTGGGCTTTTTTCTTATCAAGTTAGATTTGTTAGAACATGTTTTCAGCTTTAATGACTGAATTTATTGTAAAAGTGGGATTATGAACACATGAATACTACTGAGTAATATATGTGTACATATATATTTAAGAAGTACAATATAAGACAAGCACAAGTTTCATTAGTGGGTCATATTTCATTATACTTTCAGAATTTGCTGAGGGCGGATTCAGAGGGCCGCATTTGGCCCCCGGGCCGCAGTTTGGACACCCCTGGTCTAGAAACTAAAAACATCCCATAAGAACAGACCACCTTTCCCACTCTTCTGTAAAACCCCGTCTGTTAGAGAGTGGATTACTAAAGTGTGGCTTTGCATGTTCAGCTGGCCTTCTATAGTTGATGGAAGAATGAGAGAGCCTGCAGTCAGTGGGTAACATCACTGATCTGTTTCCCCAGTGAGAGAAACACCTCCCTGTGTTTCATACAATACTGCTGAACCAGCAGAGACCCCTTACTGACCTGAGGGTCTCCAGTCTGCAGTCTGGACTCTCCAGAAGATCTCTCATCAGCTTCTCATCTGAAGCCTTCGGAGCGTTGTTACTCAGGTCCAGATCTCTCAGATGGATGTTGGACTTCAGAACAGAGGCCAGAGCAGAACAGCTGATCTTTGACAAACTGCAGCTCTCCAGTCTGAATAAAGAAAACATGATGAGGATACAAATCAGTTTATAATCAGATGTTACTCAACATTTAAATGAATGGGAACAAAAACAAAATGTCTTCTTCAGAAAGTAAACTTTATTAATGTAAAACTAATATTACTTCAGATGAACTTTATTCAGACGTTATTGTTTACTAAATATTAAAAACCTAGATTTACTTTTTACAACTAACATCTATTCCAGTTCCTTCAAGAATCAGACAACATCTAAGTCTGCAGTTCTTACTTTAGTAGCTACAAATGAAAATATGAATAAAAGAACATTTACAACTGAATGGATGTAAGTTAATGATGTAGAAGAATCAGGATGAATATCTAATGAAACATGAGATCTCCAGCAGTAACAGAGAGTCAGTGAACTGACCTGAGAGTCTCCAGTCTGCAGTCTGGACTCTCCAGAAGATCTCTCAGCAGCTTCTCTCCTGAATCCTGCAGAGCGTAGTTCCAACTCAGGTCCAGAACTCTCAGATGGATGTTGGACTTCAGAGCTGAGATCAGAGCAGACCAGCTGATCTCTGACAAACTGCAGTTCTCCAGTCTGAATAAAGAAAACATGACGTAAGTTTAGAAAACAAAGTTCCTGTTTGAAATAACTCCAGGTTTAATAATCTGTTCAGAGTTAAACAGGGTTTCAAAGGTCTCCTATCTGCTATCTTTAGGCATATATTCTGGGTCTCAGATATATAACAATATATAAAAACATCTCTATGATGTGTTTTGCTCCAAATACCAAACAGATCCTGCATTTTAGAAATCCCTCATATCCCTCTGTTCCAGCTGTTAGAGAAGAGCAGGTTCGGGTCCTTAGCTTGAAAAAAGAGGAGGGGGAGCTAATGCCTGATCAGAATTACCCGGCAGATTCAGCTAAATGCTGCCGTGATTAAACGCCATCATGTTCCAAACCACATCAAGGATTGTCTCTGAAACAGTATGGAGCTCAAACTCTTTCTCTCTCTCAGGTTTACCACAAGGTGAGTTCCTTTTGATTTCCTGCTTCTTCACACATACTCTCTCCAGCACAGGTTAGCTCTGAGTGTTAGCATGCTAATGTAAACGCAGACCATATTACTTCCAGAACACGTCTCATTGTTTCTGACAGCAACGTTTCTGATTGGTCCGTGGGTGTAAAGCCCGCCCACATTTTAGTAATGTCGTCATGACGCAGCAAATCTGGATCAGCTCCGTTGTTCCCCCGTTTTTAGAGATGTGGGTACGGAGGAAAAGAGAGAGGGGTTTATTTCCTGACACTTTGAGAGTCTCTTGACACACCGGGGACACACCGGGGACACACCGGGGACACACCGGGACACACCGGGTACACACCGGGGACACACCGGGACACACCGGGGACACACCGGGGACACACCGGGACACACCCGGGACACACCGGGGACACACCGGGGACACATGGTGATGTAGAGAAGACATCAGAAAGTGCATTCTGCATGATAGGTCCCCTTTAATGTCAGAGATGATGCAGAAACAATCCACTGATAATCTGGAACTTTAACTTTGATGTTTATCAACTCCTTCATCTCCCTCACAGCTCATCAGTACTGACAGCATCTCCACTGACTCATGGAGCACAGAGTGAGTCTGTGGAAGCTCAAACTCTCTCCCTCACACATTCACCTTCTCTCTGTTACTCTGATCAATATGCAGTCATTAGCAAAAGTGGAACAAATAATTTAAATGTATTTGTTCAAATTCAGAAAATCATAAATACAAACAGATGAAGTTCATTCAGTGAACTGACCTGAGAGTCTCCAGTCTGCAGTTTGGACTCTTTAGTCCAGAGATCAGCTCCACTCCTGAATCCTTCAGAGCGTTGAAACTCAGGTCCAGATCTCTCAGATGGGAGGGGTCAGACTTCAGAGCTGAGGCCAGAGCAGACCAGCTGATCTCTGACAAACTGCAGCGACTCAGTCTGAATAAAGAAAACATGATGAGGATACAAATCAGTTTATAATCAGATGTTACTCAACATTTAAATGATTGGGAACAAAAACATGTCTTCTTCAGAAAGTAAACTTTATTAATGTAAAACTAATATTACTTCAGATGAACTTTATTCAGACGTTATCGTTTACTAAATATTGAAAACATAGATTTACTTTTTACAATTAACATCTATTCCAGTTCCTTCAAGAATCAGACAACATCTAAGTCTGCAGTTCTTACTTTAGTAGCTACAAATGAAAATATGAATAAAAGAACATTAACAACTGAATGGATGCAAGTTAATGATGTAGAAGAATCAGGATGAATATCTAATGAAACATGAGATCTCCAGCAGTAACAGAGAGTCAGTGAACTGACTTGAGGGTCTCCAGTCTGCAGTCTGGACCCTCCAGAAGATCTCTCAGCTCCACTCCTGAATCCTTCAGAGCGTTCCAACCCAGGTCCAGATCTCTCAGATGGATGTTGGACTTCAGAGCTGAGATCAGAGCAGAACAGCTGATCTCTGACAAACTGCAGCTCCACAGTCTGAATAAAGAAAACATGATGTAAGTTTAGAAAACAAAGTTCCTGTTTGAAATAACTCCAGGTTTAATAATCTGTTCAGAGTTAAACAGGGTTTCAAAGGTCTCCTATCTGCTATCTTTAGGCATATGTTCTGGGTCTCAGATATATAACAATTAGGGCTGTCAGTCGATTAAAATATTTAATCGCGATTAATCGCATGATTGTCCATAGTTAATCGCAAATTAATCGCACATTTTTTATCTGTTCTAAATGTACCTTAGAGGGATATCTTTCACGTTTTTAATACTCTTATCAACATATGAGTGGACAAATATGCTTTATATGTTTGTTTATTATCATTTGAACAATGACAAATATTCTCATGAATATTAAACACAACAACCTGAACATTACAAATATTCGCCTCAATTCAACCTGGAACCTCCCTCATACAATAATACAGTGTGTGTGTGTGTGTGTGTGTGTGTGTGTGTGTGTGTGTGTGTGTGTGTGTGTGTGTGTGTGTGTGTGTGTGTGTGTGTGTGTGTGTGTGTGTGTGTGTGTGTGTGTGTGTGTGTGTGAGAATGTTGACACACTGTGATGGATCGTTGGAGCTATGTGCAGCTCAAGGCATATATGCTCCAATGGGAGCTGCCTGGACGCTGCAATCATGTTCCTATCCGTGCTGAGTGTGCTGACTTTTCGTACAATGTCCCACTGTCTGGCTACCTGCATAAAGTCAAGTGCTCGGCGCAGTTGTCGGCGAAATGTCATTGAAACAGCTCCTTATATCCGTTAGCGCAGCTAGCTAGCACCAGATGCTAACAACAACAACACGTAAGGTGTGCCTCGCTCGCGCGAGTCGCGCCACACATACACACTCCCTCCCGGTCCTCCCGATGGCCAGTCCGGGCCTGCCGGTGGGCGTGGAAGTGTGGTCTGCCACAAGCGGGCGGCAGGAGTAGGGCTGTCAGCATCAGCTTGTCGATGGTATTTTAAACTCGATGCGCTCTGAAACTACGGGGCGGCCGAGGACAAAAAATACACATGCGTTAATCGCGTTAAAATAATTAGTGGCGTTAATTTTGTTTTTCGTTAACGCGTCATTAACGCGTTAACTTGACAGCCCTAATAACAATATATAAAAACATCTCTATGATGTGTTTTGCTCCAAATACCAAACAGATCCTGCATTTTAGAAATCCCTCATATCCCTCTGTTCCAGCTGTTAGAGAAGAGCAGGTTCGGGTCCTTAGCTTAAAAAGAGAGGAGGGGGAGCTAATGCCTGATCAGAATTACCCGGCAGATTCAGCTAAATGCTGCCGTGATTAAACGCCATCATGTTCCAAACCACATCAAGGATTCTCTCTGAAACAGTATGGAGCTCAAACTCTTTCTCTCTCTCAGGTTTACCTCAAGGTGAGTTCCTGCATATAGATTCTTATTGCACTATTTCACTATTTTAAACTATTTTTCTTTTTGTATTTACTATTTATTATTTTCTTGCACTATATTTTTCTGTTTATCTGTGTTATTGTGTTGCACTGTTGGAGAAACCTGTGACCTAAGATTTACAACGGCATAACTTCACTGTAGCTATGTTCGTTTGACAAAATAAAGAACCTTGAACCTTTTGATTTCCTGCTTCTTCACACATGCTCTCTCCAGTACAGGTTAGCTCTGAGTGTTAGCATGCTAATGTAAACACAGACCATATTACTTCCAGAACACGTCTCACGGGGTGTTTCTCAATCGCGAGTAAAGCTGCTTCAGAGCCACTATTTCAAGCATACTACGTCATCGAGTGCCGCCGAAGTACTGTTCCAATCTCCAGCATACTTGGAAATCTACCGAGCCCGGCGTACTCCGTTTGGAGAAATATCGAGGCTGCACATGAGTAGACTCCGTGGTCTTAAAATCCCCACAATGCTTTGCGCACGGACCAATTTCAAAAATCTGTGGCGGAAAATGTAAGACGGGGCCTCTCATATGACGCACACCTGCACACTTGCTAGCCTGTTCCACTCTTTGTTTTCCGAATGCCAGGAAGTATTATTGACTCGCTTCTGAAGCAAGATGCTCAGCAGACATGTGCTACCAAGCAAGCGTACTCGACATTGAGAAACACCCATTGTTTCTGACAGCAACGTTTCTGATTGGCCCGTGGGTGTAAAGCCCGCCCACATTTTAGTAATGTCGTCATGACGCAGCAAATCTGGATCAGCTCCGTTGTTCCCCCGTTTTTAGAGATGTGGGTACGGAGGAAAAGAGAGAGGGGTTTATTTCCTGACACTTTGAGAGTCTCCTGACACACCGGGGACACACCGGGGACACACCGGGGACACACACCGGGGACACACACCGGGGACACACACCGGGGACACACGGGGGACACACCGGGGACACACCGGGGACACACCAGGGACACATGGTGATGTAGAGAAGACATCAGAAAGTGCATTCTGCATGATAGGTCCCCTTTAATGTCAGAGATGATGCAGAAACAATCCACTGATAATCTGGATCTTTAACTTTGATCAGATGTTTATCAACTCCTTCATCTCCCTCACAGCTCATCAGTACTGACAGCATCTCCACTGACTCATGGAGCACAGAGTGAGTCTGTGGAAGCTCAAACTCTCTCCCTCACACATTCACCTTCTCTTTGTTACTCTGATCAATATGCAGTCATTAGCAAAAGTGGAACAAATAATTTAAATGTATTTGTTCAAATTCAGAAAATCATAAATACAAACAGATGAAGTTCAGTCAGTGAACTGACCTGAGAGTCTCCAGTCTGCAGTTTGGACTCTTTAGTCCAGAGATCAGCAGCTCCACTCCTGGATCCTTCAGATCGTTCTGACTCAGGTCCAGATCTCTCAGATGGATGTTGGACTTCAGAACTGAGGTCAGAGCAGACCAGCTGATCTCTGACAAACTGCAGCTCCTCAGTCTGAATAAAGAAAACATGATGAGGATACAAATCAGTTTATAATCAGATGTTACTCAACATTTAAATGAATGGGAACAAAAACAAAATGTCTTCTTCAGAAAGTAAACTTTATTAATGTAAAACTAATATTACTTCAGATGAACTTTATTCAGACATTATCGTTTACTAAATATTAAAAACATAGATTTACTTTTTACAACTAACATCTATTCCAGTTCCTTCAAGAATCAGACAACATCTAAGTCTGCAGTTCTTACTTTAGTAGCTACAAATGAAAATATGAACAAAACAACATTTACAACTGAATGGATGCAAGTTAATGATGTAGAAGAATCAGGATGAATATCTAATGAAACATGAGATCTCCAGCAGTAACAGAGAGTCAGTGAACTGACCTGAGAGTCTCCAGTCTGCAGTCTGGACTCTCCAGAAGATCTCTCAGCTCCACTCCTAAATCCTTCAGATCGTAGTTGTAACTCAGGTCCAGAACTCTCAGATGGATGTTGGACTTCAGAGCTGAGATCAGAGCAGAACAGCTGATCTCTGACAAACTGCAGCTCCACAGTCTGAATAAAGAAAACATGATGTGAGTTTAGAAAACAATGTTCCTGTTTGAAATAACTCCAGGTTTAATAATCTGTTCAGAGTTAAACAGGGTTTCAAAGGTCTCCTATCTGCTATCTTTAGGCATATGTTCTGGGTCTCAGATATATAACAATATATAAAAACATGTCTATGATGTGTTTTGCTCCAAATACCAAACAGATCCTGCATTTTAGAAATCCCTCATATCCCTCTGTTCCAGCTGTTAGAGAAGAGCAGGTTCTGGTCCTTAGCTTAAAAGAGAGGAGGGGGAGCTAATGCCTGATCAGAATTACCCGGCAGATACTGTCTAAATGCTGCCGTGATTAAACTCCATCATGTTCCAAACCACATCAAGGATTCTCTCTGAAACAGTATGGAGCTCAAACTCTTTCTCTCTCTCAGGTTTACCACAAGGTGAGTTCCTTTTGATTTCCTGCTTCTTCACACATACTCTCTCCAGTACAGGTTAGCTCTGAGTGTTAGCATGCTAATGTAAACACAGACCATATTACTTCCAGAACACCTCTCATTGTTTCTGACAGCAACGTTTCTGATTGGCCCGTGGGTGTAAAGCCCGCCCACATTTGAGTCATGTCGTCATGACGCAGCAAATCTGGATCAGCTCCGTTGTTCCCCCGTTTTTAGAGATGTGGGTACGGAGGAAAAGAGAGAGGGGTTTATTTCCTGACACTTTGTGAGTCTCCTGACACACCGGGGACACACCGGGGACACATAGGGACACACCGGGGACACACCGGGGACACACCGGGGACACACCGGGGACACACCGGACACACGGGGACACACAGGGGACACACCGGGGACACACACCGGGGACACATGGTGATGTAGAGAAGACATCAGAAAGTGCATTCTGCATGATAGGTCCCCTTTAATGTCAGAGATGATGCAGAAACAATCCACTGATAATCTGGAACTTTAACTTTGATCAGATGTTTATCAACTCCTTCATCTCCCTCACAGCTCATCAGTACTGACAGCATCTCCACTGACTCATGGAGCACAGAGTGAGTCTGTGGAAGCTCAAACTCTCTCCCTCACACATTCACCTTCTCTCTGTTACTCTGATCAATATGCAGTCATTAGCAAAAGTGGAACAAATAATTTAAATGTATTTGTTCAAATTCAGAAAATCATAAATACAAACAGATGAAGTTCATTCAGTGAACTGACCTGAGAGTCTCCAGTCTGCAGTTTGGACTCTTTAGTCCAGAGATCAGCAGCTCCACTCCTGAATCCTTCAGAGCGTTCTCACTCAGGTCCAGATCTCTCAGATGGGAGGAGTCAGACTTCAGAGCTGAGGCCACGACTTCACAGTGAGCCTCTGAGAGTTTACAGCCAGTCAGTCTATAATAACACATATATTACAACATGTGTTAAAAAGAGGAAACATATTAACCTGAAGTATTTGATGAAAAAAATATTTTACATATGTTCTGATTGAGATTTGCTGTTTTTCCATTTTATATATAATAATATATGATAATAGAGTGTAATGAGTTGTCAGTGTGATCTGATCACATGTCTGTGCTCCTGCTGTCACTGACTGTTACCAAAGAAACAGAAATGTAATAAATCACTTGACAATATTAGAGATGTACATATTTAAATGTTAATTAATATTTAGATGTGAATGATGGATGTTTTGTCTTCTCTGAGCATCTGGAAATGTACTGCGCACACAAACACAGTTAACAAACCAATAAAGTTTCAATATTTTAAACTGAATACCATCAGATGTTCTCACTATATGAGCATTAAGTCATAACTCTGTTATTGGTGGGAGATTATATAGATCTGATTTTAAACTCTAACACATTGTGATCAAATCGTGTGTGTTTAATGATAAAGAAACTACTAGAAAGTAATAATAACTGATAACAGTAAGTCCTGCTGTGTGGTGTGATCACATGCTGAGGAACCTCTAAAGTCCTTCATGTGTTTGACATGTCGCCTCTCAGTATTTAAACAGCAGAAATGTTATCGTGTTTATTTGAATAATTAAACTCCTGATCCACATTAGTTTATAAAGTGAATCACATCTGGACTTACTTGGCCTTCCTGCAGTTCCTCACAGCTGGAATCAGTCTCCGTTTCCCCTCATCTGATGTTTTGTACTGACTCAGGTCCAACTCATCCAGAACCTCCTCTGACATCTGCAGCATGTAGGCCAGAGCAGAGCAGTGGATCACAGAGAGTTCCTTCTCTGATCTGTTCTCTGACTTCAGGAACTCTGTGATCTCCTGATGCACTGAGTGGTCCTTCATCTCTGTCAGACAGTGGAAGATGTTGATGCTCCTTTCAGGAGAGCTTTTATCACTTCTCATCTCCTTCAGGTGGCTGATGGCTCTCTGGATGACTTCTGGTCTGGTGTCTGTGCGACCCAGCAGGCCTCCTAACAGTCTCTGGTTGGACTCCAGAGAGAGGCCGTGGAGAAAGCGGACAAACAGGTCCAGGTGGCCATTTCTACTTTCTAGGGATTTCGCCATGGCTCCTTTTAGAAAGACATCCAGGGATGGGTACTCCTGAGAACTGACTTTACTGTTCTCATTGTGCCAGTCTCTCTTCAGGAAGTCCTTCAGTACCTTTGTCTTCCTGTTGCTGTAACAGTGCAACATGTAGACTGCAGCCAGAAACTCCTGAATGCTCAGATGAACAAAGCAGTAGACTGTTTTCTGGAAGATCAAACTCTCTCTTTTGAAGATCTCTGTACAAACTCCTGAGTGCACCAAGGCCTCGGTGACACCAAGACCACAGCGCTGCAGGTCTTCTTGGTAGAACATGATGTCTCCTTTCTCCAGATGTTCAAACGCCAGCCTCCCCAGCTTCAGAAGAACCTCCCTGTCAGCCTCCGTCAGCTGCTGTGGACTCGTCTTCATCTTCTTCTTCTTCTTCAGCTGCTGTGGACTCGTCTCATGTCCCTCTTCATACTTCTGCTTCTTCCTCTTGGTCTGGACCAGCAGGAAGTGTGAGTACATGTCAGTGAGGGTCTGGGGCAGCTCTCCTCTCTGGTCTGTAGTCAACATGTGGTCCAGAACTGCAGCAGTGATCCAGCAGAAGACTGGGATCAGACACATGATGTGGAGGCTCCTGGAGCTCTTGATGTGAGAGATGATTCTGCTGGACAGGTCTTCATCACTCGATCTCCTCCTGAAGTACTCCTCCTTCTGGGCGTCAGTGAAGCCTCGTACTTCTGTTACCCTGTCCACACACTCAGGAGGGATCTGATTGGCCGCTGCAGGTCTGGAAGTTATCCAGACGAGAGCCGAGGGAAGCAGCTTCCCCCTGATGAGGTTTGTCAGCAGCACGTTGACTGAGGACTTCTGTGAGACATCAGACACAACCTCATTGTTTCTGAAGTCCAGAGAAAGTCTGCTTTCATCCAGGCCGTCAAAGATGAGCAGCACTTTACAGACAGCCAGCTGCTCTGCTGTGACCTTCTGTAAGGTTGGATGGAAAACATGGAGCAGCCTGAGAAGACTGTACTGCTCACCTTTGATCAGGTTCAGCTCCCTGAAGGAGAGCGGGATCACCAGACTGACATCTTGGTTCTCCAAACCCTCGGCCCAGTCCAGAGTGAACTTCTGCACTGAGAAGGTTTTTCCAACTCCAGCGACTCCGTTGGTCAGGACCGCTCTGATGAGAGTCTGCTGGTCAGGTAAGGCTTTAAAGATGTCCTGGCACTTGATTGGAGTTTCATGGAGGGTCTCTTTCTTGGAAGCTGTCTCCAGCTGCCTCACCTCATGTTGGGTATTAACCTCTTCACTCAGGCCTTGTGTAATGTAGAGCTCAGTGAAGATCCTGTTGAGGAGGGTTTGACTTTGATCAGTTCCTTCAGTCACACGTTCACATCTCCTCCTCAGACTGAGCCTATGTTCATCTAAAACCTCCTGCAGACCACTATCTGCTGACAGAGAAGAAACACGAGAGAATCAGGAAATGCTTTTGAGAATCTAACAATAAAACTAATTTAAAGAAAGTTTAAATGTTTAATAAACATTGTAATGTCTATGCTCTACAACAGAATACCTAATAAAAAGAACAAATGAACCAGGAAGAAGAATAAGACGCTGCATGAGTTCGGCCTCTTACCTCGTACAGAGCTGGTCTGACTGGCTGTCTGCAGGCCAGCTCTGGTTCTGGATCTTTCTCCACACTGAGGACAGGAGGGGTCTCCTGATGGAGGTCTCTGCTCCCAGTATGAGGTGATGCACTGTCTGCAGAAGCAGTGTCCACAGCTGGTAGAGACTGGATCCTTCAGGACGTCCTGACACAGAGCACAGCTGGACAGCTGCTGCTCCACAGGAACACCACTCTTCCTCTTCCCTCTGTGGAGATGAACACATCCTTTATAGCACTTTACATTAGTGGAGCTGATTCTCACCAAAGGTACAACAAGGGGGAACATTCTGGTTTGATATTTAAAAAAAGGTCTATATAATATACCCTTGTGATCAGGTAGATAGCTTACAGTTCACATGATCATAAAACCAGAGAGCATCCTGTCTGGATTCCTGACCCAGAGGAGCACATGTTCTATTTCGTCCCTACTGACCGCCAGAGGCGGTGCTTTTAGCACTGGATATGTCCATCGTGCGCATGCGCAGTACGAGTACCAATATCAACAAAGTCACCTGTGACCCACGTGACACCGGCTATATCAGCCCGTGTCATCAGAGGATCTGTTCCTTTCATCTTCTCGCTGCGCGAGAGTACCGTGGCTACACTATTGTAGCCTACAGCGTTCAGTTGGAACGTTTGGATTTAAGGATTTCTCTGCATCCAGCTGGCTTCGCGACTGATCCAGTCGGAGCCGCGGGATTACCCGTCCTCCAGGAGCTGCGGCCGGCTGCACAGAAAACTTCAACGGACAGGTTGGTGTCGGCTTGGTCGGTGACGGCAGTGTTTCCACTCCCTCTCCCAGCTAGGTTGTCCTGATTTCTGTCTTGGTTGCTACCTGGCTTGAACTTTCTGGTGACGGTAGCGTTTCCGCCCCCTCTCCCAGGAGTTGCCCTTGTTGCGCTCTCTGTACTTTTCTGATAGCGCGGCGTTGCGCCAAGCTATCATTAGCATCCTGAGTTCCAGCTTGTGTTGTGTCCTCTTGTTTAGCTAGTTAGCTCAGCCTAACTGTGTCCTGCCTGGTCAGCCACTTTGGCTGACGCTTGAGGTAAGCACCGGATTACCCGTGCTGTTTTTTCTTTAGAAGCAGTTTCCTTAGCTTGTTTCGCTATTTTACTCAACCAGTGAAGGCAGTGTTTTCACCCCCGCTCCTGGTAAGAGTGTTCTTTGACTGTGAGCAGCAGCCGGCTGGCTAGCTGCCCTGTTAAGCTTCCTTATTTGGTAGCTCTGTGCTTCGTTTACTTAGCTAGGTGAAGGCAGTGCTCTCGCTCCCCGCTCCCTCTGCTAGTAGCTTCGCGCTTTCGTTTACTCAGCTAGGTGAAGGCAGTGCTCTCGCTCCCCGCTTCCTCTGCTGGTAGCTCCGTGCTTCGTTTACTCAGCTAGGTGAAGGCAGTGCTCTCGCTCCCCGCTCCCTCTGCTAGTAGCTTTGCACTTTCATTTACTTAGCTAGGTGAAGGCAGTGCTCTCGCTCCCCGCTCCCTCTGCTAAGTAACGCGGGTGTACCCCATTACACCCCTCTCGTGTTCGGCGAGTAGGAGCAGGGCTCTACTCCTTCCGTTCAGCAGGTAACTGGTGAAGGCTGTGTTCTCGCACCCCGCTCCCGGTTACGCTGCATCCGGCTACCTACATGATGGCTCATCCATGTAGCGCCTGTATGGCTTCTCTCGAGCCCGAGGATGGCCACGACTGCTGCCCCTCTTGCCTTGGTCTCGAGCATTTGAGGGAGGGTCTCACGCAGGACGCCTGCATGAACTGTAGCTGCATGCCTTGGGCGCTTAGAGCGGCCAGAGTCGCAGAGGTGGAGCGTCTGGCAGAAGCCAACGGACACCTCTCTTTGTCGCATCTTCCCCTAGGTCAGTTTGGCCGTTCCCGGCGACCCGAGGGAGCGATGGCTACGGGTTCGCCCCCTAACAGGCTGTCCTCTAAGGTGGATCGGTTAGCCGCCGACATGGACATGATGAAGTCGCTCCTCTTAGCCCTTCAACCAGGGGCCGGTATAGGGGCTGCTGGCTTGCCGCCTGCCCCTCCTTCGGTTGCCGCACCTCTGCATGAGGATGCCATGTCACTAGCGGCCTCGGCTAACCTCTTCAACGAAGAGGTGGAGGACGAGGCCCCGCTCACTCCCGGGGAGGCTTCCCACTCCTCTGCTCAGGGCTCTCTGCAGGGCGTGGAGGACGCCTCCATGGCGGCCATTATTCGTGCGGCCCTGGCACACTTGCAGCTTCCTGTTCCGCAGGCCGACGCGGCTCAGGCTAGCGCCTTCTTCAGGCGTAGCCCTACCCCTGTCCCCCTCTCTGTTCCTCCTTCAGAGGAGTACCTGAGGGAGCTCCATGCATGCTGGAGAGACACCAAGGCCCTCTCCCGCTTCAGCTCTGATGGCCGGACCCTGGCTGCCATGCAGGATCCGGCGAGGGTGGGGCTGGGTCGCATGCCACCCATCGAGCCTGCCATCGCCTCCCTGATTCTGGCTCCTGATGAGGCCCTAAGGCCTGATGCCAGGTGCCCTCTGCCTCAGTCCAGGGTCACTGACGAACTGCTCTGTAAGGCCTACGACGCAGCGGCACGCATGGGTCGTATCGGGAACTCTCTCTCCCATCTAATGCTGGCCGCCTCCGCCTCTCTGCAGCAGGCTCCGGCTGAGCCTTCTTTGCTGGGCCTCAGTGACGCTTCACTGCAGGCCTTTGCCCTAATGACTAGGGAATTGCGACGAGTTATGTCCCTACTGGTGCAGACTCGACGCCAGGTTTGGCTGGCTCAGTCACCACTAACGGAGACATGTAGGAGTGTCCTCCGCGGCGTGCCGGTCGAACCAGGGGAGCTGTTTGGAGCAGCTGCCCTGGCGGCACTAGAGCGTGCTGCCCAAGCTAGACAGACCAGGCAGCAGCTCTCGGGTCTACGTAGGCCTGTGCCTACTCCCAGCAGGCCCAGGGGCCCCTCTAGCAGCCGCACTCTGCCACTGGCTTTCAGTGGTGGTCTGCGGAGGTCCCAGCGGTCTACTCAACCGCCTCCTAATGACTTTCGTGCCCCCGGTCGCCAGCCCTCTAGGCAGCCCCAGGCCCCACAGCCTTACCGCCGCCCCCCAAGGGGTCGGGGGGCTAGGCCCTGAAGTCCCTGGGCCGGTCGTCGGCTGCTTTTCCCAGCAGCAGCTCAGCTACTGGGCTGCCTGTACTACCGACCCTTGGGTGGTTTCCACCCTAACCCAGGGATACGAATTGCAGTTTCGACGCCGGCCCCTAGCCTTCGGCCGGGTCAAGATGACAGTTGTCAGCGACCTGGCGAAGGCCTTAGCTCTGGCCCAAGAGCTGTCCGTCCTCTTGGCCAAGGGCGCAATCGAGCCAGTGGACCCCCTGCTTCAGTCCGGGGGGTTCTACTCGGCGTACTTTCTGGTGAGCAAGAAAGTCGGCGGATTTCGTCCAGTACTGGACCTCAGAGGAATCAACAGATTCCTGAGGGTGCTGCCCTTCCACATGCTGACCAGAGCAGACACCCTCCGTGTTGTTGCACAGGGGGAGTGGTTCACAACCGTGGACTTAAAGGACGCCTACTTCCACGTGCCGATTGCGTCCCACCACCGGAAGTTCCTGAGGTTTGCCTTTCAGGACCAGCATTATCAGTTCCGGGTGCTTCCCTTCGGTCTCTCCCTCTCTCCAAGGGTGTTTACCAGGGTCGTGGCGGCAGCCCTCGCACCCCTGCAGGCACAGGGCATGAAGGTCCTGCCGTACCTAGACGACTGGCTGGTTTGTGCGCCGTCCCGGTCCCAAGTGGCCCAGGATACGGCGCGCCTCTTATGTCACGTAGCCCGGTTGGGCCTGACAGTAAACTCCGGGAAGAGCTGCCTGGTCCCCTCCCAACGGGTCACTTACCTGGGGTTGGTCCTAGACTCGGTCGCCATGAGGGCTTGCCTAACACCTCGTCGTGTGGACGACATTTCCCACCTTCTCCCCATCTTCAGGCTGGGCAAGAGTGTGCCTTACATTCAGTTCCTCCGGCTCTTGGGCAGACTGACGGCTGCCTCAGCCGTTGTGCCCTTAGGTCTGCTGTCGCTGCGCCCTATGCAGATATGGCTGAACAGCCTTCACTTGGACGCCAAGTGGCACAGGCACAGGAGGGTCAGGGTGTCGCGCCAGTGCCTTCACTCTGTCACGCTGGAGAAACAGGGCCTATCTTCTGATGGGAGCGCCCATGGGCGCCATCCCATCCCGCCGGGAGACTGTCACTGTAGATGCATGTCTCTCAGGGTGGGGTGCTGTGTGGCAGGGCAGGACTGTTCAGGGTCTGTGGTCCGCCCAGGAAGGTGCATATCACATCAACGTGCTAGAGCTTCGCGCTGTGCTGCTTGCGCTCAGGCACTTTTTACCCCAACTGACGGACAGGCATGTGCTTGTTCGTTCGGACAACATGTCCGCAGTTTCCCAGATCAACCACCAGGGGGGCACCAGGTCCGCACAGCTGCTCCGGGTTTCACAGAGCCTCTTGTCTTGGGCGTCTCCCCGCTTGGCCAGCCTGCGGGCAGTCTTTCTACCAGGGGACCAAAATCAGGTGGCAGATTTCCTCTCTCGGCACAAACCTCCACCAGGGGAGTGGAGGCTTCACCCAGAAGTGGTGGAGACAATCTGGAGCCTTTTCGGCAGGGCCGAGGTGGACCTCTTTGCCTCAGAGGAGTCGAGGCACTGCCCCCTCTGGTTCTCCTGGGCAGAGGTGACCAGCCCAATGGGGCAGGATGCTCTGGCACATGACTGGCCAGACAGTCTCCTGTATGCCTTCCCGCCGCAGCCGCTGTTATTACAGACGCTTCAGAGGGTCCTTACTCAGGGGCACAGGCTCCTTCTGGTCGCCCCCCGCTGGCCGGGGAGAGTTTGGTTCCCGCTGCTACGCAGTCTCTGCTGCGGCCCACCATGGCGCCTCCCCGACAGGAAGGACCTTCTGTCACAGCTCAGGGGTCAGATCTGGCATCCCGACCCTCACCGCCTCCAGCTCTGGGCTTGGCCTCTGCGGGGCCCAACCCACTGTTGAGCGCTTTTTCGGCATCGGTCAGGGAAACTATCCTGAATGCCAGAGCACCATCCACTCGAGCACAGTACGAGTGCAAATGGAAGCTCTTCTCCCACTGGTGTTTGGGTAAGGCTGAGAATCCGGGGCATTGCTCTGTGGCCACCATTCTGGAGTTCCTGCAGTCCCTTCTGGATAGTGGACGTTCTCACTCCACTTTGAAGGTATATACGGCTGCTATCTCTGCCCAACATGTCGGGGTCGACGGCGCCACGGTGGGGCGCCACAGGTCGGTGTCCCTCTTCCTGAGAGGGGCCTTACGGCATCGTCCCCCTAGTACCCCGAGGGCTCCGGCTTGGGACCTGCCCCTAGTGCTAGATGCCCTATCATCTCCTCCCTTCGAGCCCCTGGCCCAGGTGGGGCTTAAGTGGCTGTCCTTGAAGGCAGCATTTCTGCTTGCCATAACCTCAGGGAAGCGAGTTGGGGAGTTGCATGCCCTCTCCGTGAGCGATACATGCCTGAGGTGGAACTCCGATGGCTCGGGTGTTGCCCTCTGGCCGAATGTGGCGTTCCTGCCCAAGGTGCTTCCACTTGCCCACTCCAATCGGCCCATCCAGCTGGCACGCTTTAACGTCCCACAGGAGAGCCGCACGCCCGAGTTGCTGTGCCCTGTGCGTGCCCTGAGAGCGTATGTCGATGCTACGGCCTGTGTACGGCAGTCAGAGCAGCTCTTCGTTTGCCATGGCGGCATTAGGAAGGGTTGTGCTCTCTCCAAGCAGCGGCTGTCCCACTGGGTTGTCGATACAATCGCACATGCCTATGGGGCCAGTGGCCGCCCCCTGCCATCAGGGGTGAGATGCCACTCTACAAGGAGCGTCTCAACGTCTTGGGCCGCCCTGAGAGGAGTGCCCCTGCAGTGGAGTGCACCAGCTGGGCGTAAAAAAGTAGGTCTTAACTCTAACGTCGGGCTTAGCTACGTCCGACTTAGTGATTAGAATTTACACCGAGTGCACCAAACCTGACTAGTCTCGGTCTTAGCTGCGCCTGGTCTTAAGATGCGCGTCCACGGGAATACACGCGAAACAGTAATTGTTGCCAAGCAACACACGTCTATATAATTTTGGACCGCAGAGAAGAGGGAATTCCCACACCCACAGCGTCAGCGATGACTCAAGAGGAATCCCAAATGGCCACACCCCGAAAGAGAAAGAGGGATTTGTCAGAGCTACAGCGGGAACTGACGGAGAAAGAAATCGTTCGTGTGGAGGTGGAGACCGTAAAATTGAGAGCGGAACACGAGAAAAATGAGCTGGAGAAGGAGAAATTGAGACTCCAAATTATAATTCTTAATAATCAAATGATCACTGAAGAAGACAATGTGTTCACCATTCTGTAATCATATCTGTTGTACTTGTTTTTTTATCTCAATTTCATGTTAACAGTTCTCCAAAATGTTGTTATTTAATGTTCTTGTGTGTGTTCTTTGAATAAAATAGACCTAATGAAAATATGTGGTCACAATGGGAGCTTATTGAAATGCAATTGCAAAAAAACAGCGTTCATATTACAAATATATAGGTCTATAGGTTGTTTATTATATGATTGCGGGTAAGTCGTCCACCGATATCTTCACGGATGCCAGCAGGAGCCACAGGGTTCTCATCCGCCTCCAGTACCAAGTCTCCTTGCATCGGAAGGGGGATTCTCTTTTTCACACAGATGTTGTGCAGCACCGCAGTGGCAGCAATGATCACGCAGACGCGCTCAGGGTGCATTCGCATTTCACTGTGGAGGCAGTGAAACCTACACAAAAAAGCAAAAAACAATTTAGCCTATATCTACATTAAAAGGCTGGCCTTTTATATATTATAAAAATGACTTACTAACCTACGTTTGAGCACTCCAATGCAGCGCTCTACAATGTTCCTCGTTTGTGTATGCTTCTCGTTATAACGGCGCTCTTGTGCAGTTCTCTCTGCGATGACAGGTGTCATTAGCCAGCGCTTCAGAGGGTATCCACTGTCTCCGAGAAGAAGACCATTCACTCTCCCTGCCTCAAATTCCCGTTGAAGGGCGCTCTCTCTCAGGATGCGAGCATCATGGGTCGACCCAGGCCATCTTGCAACGAGGTCGACAATGCCCATGTCCGAGTTGCACACAATTTGAACATTTATAGAATGGTAACCCTTTCTGTTAACATACAAATACTCATGTTCAGAGGGGGCCTGAATGCGAACATGAGTACCGTCGATGCATCCGACAATACCAGGTAGGCTATACCTGATTTTAACAAAAAATCTTGCCTGCATTTCGCTGATTCTTCTTGTGTGGGTAGGTGAATATAGTTCCTAAGGCGGCGCTGGAGGGCCAATGAAACTTGTCTTATAGCCCGACATGCAGTTGTGCGATGAACATTAATCATGTCTCCCACAGTATTTTGAAAGGCCCCGTTCGCGTAGAATCTGAGCGCTATCAGCACCTGCAAGGTTGGGGAGAGCGCAGCGTTTCGGTCTGATCCGTGCTGGAGTTGAGGGGAGATCTCCTCGATTAAATCAAAAAGGGCTTGTCTGCCGAAACGAAACCTCTCTATCAGTTCACTGTCTGAATAGATGTCCAGTGGGTTTGTTCGATCACGGACGACTCTTTCTCTTCTTAATGCCCTTTCATTGTTAAACCTGTAAACAAGACGCCCTGCCATCATTAATATCCTTCTTGCCTGTTTTACGTTACTATGGATACTAGTCTGTCTTTCTGATTTACGCCTGCTCCATACTAGGCGTAAAAGTTACGCCCGGGCGCAACGCACACAGGGCTTAAGTCTAAGTGGTGCACTAGTCATAACTTTAGTTTGGTCTTAACCTTCGGTTCTACGTCGGACGTAGAGTTACGACCAGCTTACGCCCAGCTGGTGCACTCCACTCCTGGAGACCATCTGCGCCGCGGCGTCTTGGGCGTCTTCTGGCACATTCTCCAGGTTCTACCGGGTCAATGTCGCCACTCCCCATCCTTTGGGCGTGGTCCTGTTGCCAAGCTCCGCTGCTTCCAGCTAGGTGAGTATTTGGTTTCTTCATGACATGGTTGGTATAAGTCATCCAGTGCTAAAAGCACCGCCTCTGGCGGTCAGTAGGGACAAAATAGAACGATAGTTACGTCTGTAACTACGGTTCTATGAGTCCCGGATGACCGCCAGAGTTTCCTGTCACTCAGAATTCTTGTGTGCTCGCGAGAAGATTCTGGGAACAGATCCTCTGATGACACGGGCTGATATAGCCGGTGTCACGTGGGTCACAGGTGACTTTGTTGATATTGGTACTCGTACTGCGCATGCGCACGATGGACATATCCAGTGCTAAAAGCACCGCCTCTGGCGGTCATCCGGGACTCATAGAACCGTAGTTACAGACGTAACTATCGTTCCCTGTATCTACACACAGCTGTATTAACCTGGTGCTTTATAAACCCAACATAGAATCTGCTGTGAATTCATAGCAATAAACATATGGAAAGGATGCCTAAATAACAACAGAATGAAACTGATTTGTAAAAAGCCTGAGTTAATGCTTTGTCAGGTCTGTCTCCAACACAATGAGCATAAACACATTTTAAAATGTTTTTTTCTAAAGAGATGGGTTTGATTAAAGCTAGGCTAACATTAGCTGCTCCATCCTCACTCAGAGTAACTTCATGTAGTCATAAGTACAGCAGTGTCTATATTGTTACCACCACAGACAGTCTCTGGTTTATACAGGAACATGAATAACCCTGATTGAATATGAGCTGCTGTAGAGCTCTGTTCTCCTCTCTGATTCCCCTCAGACCGTCAGAGACCCCAGGAGCTCAATCTCAACTCTGACAGGTTTTTGTAACAGAGCGTCACAAACTTTACACTCAAGTTGAGATGTTTCACGCTGCACGAATACGCAGGTGATATGAATTTAACATCTTCACTTCCTTCCTGTTGCCAGGCACAGATCTGGGTCTTTGTATTGACTCTACATGTTACGGTGGCCCGGAAGTGCAAGACACCACAGCATTTCACAAAACACCACAGCATTTCACATTGGACGGAAAGGGTATTCCTTTAGGGAGAACACTTCTTGTTTGTGATTGGACAGAGCCAGCCAGAGAAGCACTGCTGTGATTGGTTGTTTTTGCTGCCAGTCAAGAAATGACGCTTCGTGATTGGTCAGCACCCGAGCGCAACATGTCCCAACACATCAACCGTTAGCTGTTAGCACTCAGAGCTCACAGCTCCTCATATCTGTTCAGAAACTGGCAGAGGTGGGAGTAAGTCCTACATGTGCAAGTCATGAGCAAGTCTCAAGTCTTGACCTACAAGTATCAAGCAAGTCCCAAGTCACTGTGGTGAGAGTCAAGCAAGTCAAGTCAAGTCATTGCTCAGGTCAAGCAAGTCAAGTCAAGTCATGCGAAATTCTGATGAATAAGCCCAGTTTCCGCATTTAAATCAGTTAAAAGACAGTGGTTATGAAAATGGATTTAACCCACACTATGATCTTCATTACATACACAGTTAATCATTTGAAATCTAATTTAGACCGATGACAATCATATTAGATTCATATTAACCCTAGAACTGCAGCCAATATAGCTAGGACTCAATATAGCTAGGACTCAATATAGCTAGGACTCAATATAGCTAGGACTCAATATAGCTAGGACTCAATATAGCTAGGACTCAATATAGCTAGGACTCAATATAGCTAGGACTCAATATAGCTAGGACTCAATATAGCTAGGACTCAATATAGCTAGGACTCAGTATAGCTAGGACTCAGTATAGCTAGGACTCAGTATAGCTAGGACTCAGTATAGCTAGGACTCAGTATAGCTAGGACTCAGTATAGCTAGGACTCAGTATAGCTAGGACTCAGTATAGCTAGGACTCAGTATAGCTAGGACTCAATATAGCTAGGACTCAATATAGCTAGGACTCAGTCAAAAAGTCTGTTCAAAAAGGCAGAATTCCAGGTAAGAAAATCATATATGGAATTTGCCATTACACATATTTAATTAAAATGTCTGTTAACACTAGAACCGCCAACAGCGTCAGCACCTACATAGATATCATTTTCAAATCATTTAATTTGTTCCTCTTCATAATTTCCTTATAAACTAAGTAGGACGATTTAAAACTCAGTTAATTGGGTTAATTTAGAAATTGCTTCAGTTTATCATCAGAACAGATCAAAGAGTTCAGATTCATTTTACAATAAATCAAGGAATGATGCACTTCTACAAACAAAAACAACATAATTAAAACATTTAAACAAACTACTAAAAGTAGATGAACTACACATTATTCAACAGTTTACAGTAACTTCTGATAATAACACAGGGGAAATAAACGAGGCATCTCTTTCCCTCTCTCTCTCTCTCCCTCTCCTGACAGCCCGTCAGTATCGGGGTTAGTCAAAATGAATCCCTTGGAGGTTCTAGTGTTCATTTACCGTTTTGTCTTCTCTTTGCAATGCTTAATCGATTTGAAACCAAGTCTAACGTAGCTTAAACTTAACGTTAGCTTTCTAGCTAACACTTTCTCTGTGGGGTTTTTTGTAGTGACGAATGAAGTTGGATGTTTTGGTGGTCATGTCACTGATCTTTATGCTGCAGACCCTGCATACCGCTGTTCTCTTCTTATTAGCGTCATCAACATAATCCTTGAATCCAAACTTCACTATTTGTGGAGTAACGCTAGCCGCTGCCATGTTAACTGACGCTCCTGCCGTCTAGTGGGTTGCCAGGTTTGCGCGCATGGCGCTATAATAACCCAATCACGTTTTTCGAAAAAACTAAACGTAATATCTCACTACAAAAACAAACGCAAATATTTAATTTTAAACAGACAAGTCCTTTCAAGTCATCTGTCTCAAGCTTAAGTCAAGTCTCAAGTCATCAATACCAAGTCAAAGTCAAGTCAAGTCTTTTATCAATGTTAGTCAAGCAAGTCTCAAGTCAAAAAATATGCGACTCGAGTCTGACTCGAGTCAAGTCATGTGACTCGAGTCTGACTCGAGTCAAGTCATGTGACTCGAGTCCCCACCTCTGGAAACTGGACAAAAGTTAAACATGTACAAACCACAGACTGTCTATGTCATGGCGAATACAGTCGCTGCTTTATTTATGTCTGTATGACGTTGTTGTGAGTGTGGACGGAGCAGCTTCAGGTTAGTTTAGCCTGATGGATCCGATTCCATTCAGAAAACACGCATTTTAAAAGATTTTCGCCTGCCGTCTTGTCTGCAGACTTGTCAAAGCATTAATTCATGGTTTTTACTAACCGGTATCAGTATGTAGTTACTTCGGCATCACTTTGAAACGTGTATTACAATTAAATCACGGTCAATATGTTCATTTTGTTGTAGTTGGTATCTCCCATAGGATTTACATGGAGATACGCCCCGCCCCCTCTCCAGCGCGTCTTGTTTGAATGACAGGAGCAAACACAGCTGACAGGAGCGGTGAAACTCGAGCGATTAGAGCGATGCGAATATTGGGTAGTCTACCATAGTATTTACATGGAGATAAGCCCCTTAAAAACCATGAATTAATAAAGCATTAATTTATGTTTTTTTCGCATCGCTCTAATCGCTCGAGTTTCACCGCAGCTGTCAGTGTTTACTCCTGTCATTCAAACAAGAAGTGCTGGAGAGGGGGCGGATCGATCAGGCTAAACTAACCTGTAGCTGCTCCGTCCACACTCACAACAGCGTCATACAGACATAAATAAAGCAGCGACTGTATTCGCCATGACATAGACAGTCTGTGGTTTGTACTTGTTTAACTTTTGTCCAGTTTCTGAACAGATATGAGGAGCTGTGAGCTCTGAGTGTGTGCTAACAGCTAACGGTTGATGTGTTGGGACATGTTGCGCTGTCGGGTGCTGACCAATCACAAAGCGTCATTTCTTGACTGGCAGCAAAAATAACCAATCACAGCAGTGCTTCTCTGGCTGGCTCTGTCCAATCACAAACAAGAAGTGTTCTCCCTAAAGGAATACCCTTTCCGTCCAATGTGAAATGCTGTGGTGTTTTGTGAAATGCTGTAGTGTCTTGCACTTCCGGGCCACCGTAACATGTGATATCACAAAACACTGTTATATCTGCTAATGCTAAACACAACCAGCTCACCAGGTTATCACTATTATTAATAATCATCTTAAAAAGACATATCATAGATATGCCCAAGTAGTTCAATAATGTTTTGGACGATATCATTCTTTTTGTAAATCAGAATTTATCAACATTCTTGCTCTTTAAAACCATTTTATACACAGATACAATGATAATATAATTGCATATTGAAATATCCTCAAATAATGTTAGCTTGCTGTACTCTGCTGCGTGTTCCCTTTACAAACTGCTCACATGATTTCATTAAAGAACAGTTTCATATATTAGATTATAAAAACTGAATCCTCTTCAGGTCAGGTTACAGTAGAAACTCTTACTTTGTGTCTGAGGGTCCAGGTTCATTACTGAAGAGTGGAGGGTCCCACATAGACCAGTCACTCTTCAGAGACAGACAGCTGGGGACTGGAGACCCTGCTCTCTGTCTGTGGAAACAACAAGTTTTAAACATCATTAGTTCATCTAAAGAGCAGCTTTTGATCTATGACTGTTCACCTGATTAAAGATTTGTAGAGTTCTTGAGTCGTGATTTTGGGTTTCTGTTTTTAAAATTCATTCAAGTCCAACATGTAGAGAGTGAGGATGATCTCACTAGTAGATTATTTACTATCTCTGATGATGACAAGAAGCAAGAGTTCAATTACCCTTTGTTAATGTTCTCTACTGGGTTTCATTAAACAACAAGATTAAATGGAAATATAATACAAAAAACACGAATTTTCAGCTTTGATGTAACAACATTCATAATTAATTAAAGATAGCACCCTTTTCCCCCCGGTTACATTTTCCATTCTCCCTGTACAATGGGCGCTGTAAGT